GTATATATATATATATATATTATATCGTGTAACATATTGACCTGAAGACACTACGCGCTTGTAGCCTTCGTATTGTCTCTTCGTGACTTTATTAATAGTACAGATGTATAGCGAGCGTTTCTTTGTCTGTGCAACTCTCAAAGGCAAAAAAGAAAAAAAATTCCAAACATCTGAAGCTGAAAAAAATACTGCATCGGCCGGGAATCGAACCCGGGTCACCCGCGTGGCAGGCGAGTATTCTACCACTAGACCACCGATGCTCCTGAGAGATCAGTGCCATTATAGCTATATAAAGTTAATCAAATTATTTAATGATTAATGGACTATGTGCTGTCTCCATCTGGTATTTTTTGTTTGCAGGTTAAGTAGATTTTGAGTCAATGCAATGCTTAAATTTACCGTTATTCGTGTTTGTTTGATTCAGACAGTGGTCTGTTCTTAGTGTTCTGTGTTCTAACCAGCTATGCTGTCAAATTAACTTCCGGTACAAAAGGTCATTTGCTGTTGACCTTTTCTCCCCTCTTCGAGGACAAGAGTGACATACCCTTTTGATGGCGCTGTCGATGTAAATAGAAAATTTACGTCACGAATGTCGACGCCATAACAAATCTGTCACGGACTACTGAATTCTTACATTTTTATGTTTAAGCTTATGGAATTTAGTTTATCCTGAGTGTTTTAGCTTCATTTATAAAATCCTGGATCATTTGTGTTCAGTTTGAAGTTACAAAGTGGTGTATCCACTGCCCTGATTTCCTATCCACGGCATTATTTTTACATCATAATGACGATCAAACCAAAGAAGAAGACTGCTAAGGAGAAAAATGATCAAGACGCAGGTGACAGTCATGCGTCCGTTGGACATGCAATGCCTCACAGCCATACGCTAAATCATGGACATAGTCATTCACACTACCATCACGCAACTGGGACAGAAAGCAGGTTGGACAAGCAATCCAGAGTCAGAAACTCTCCCCCAAGGTGGCCGCCATCAACTTCCTCGAGGGATGATGTTGCTCATTCTGGACTGACACAAAACCTAACAGCTGCCTCCAATTATGAATATGAAACTATAGACTCATCAACAAATCATAAAAGAAGACATCGCTCATCACCTCATAGGACTGTGAGGAAACACCGCAACCATCCTTCGAGTGTAATCTCTAATGCTGTTGGTGTCACAACTGCCAATAATGCATCGATGAATAGCAACCTCGAACTTGATGCCTGTGATGAAGAGTATAATAGTGAAGATGAACATAGTCAGCCTCCTGCAATACCAGAAAATGTTAATGAGGTTTGTAGATTAAGAAAAAATTCAGTACTTTCCCACTTTTAAAGTGTCTGAAAGCACAGCAGTTGCAGTCTACTTTTTGTAACGTCAACGTTTAAGCTGTTTGAGTTTGTGAGGCCTACATGATTCATGATGAAAGTTTTTTTCAAATTTGTTTTTTTTTCACCTGATTTATTTTATGCAGATGCAGCCTCCCTCAAAACCATGAAAAATTCCATGGTTAGGGGGTTCAAGTGGTCTTGAAGTAAGGTGTTCATCTCTCGTACAATAGGTCGTGGGTTTGAATTCAGATAGCGACGGAAAATTTTCTTTTCTAAAATTGTCTCCTTTCTTCACATCCTTTCCTGCTCTGTAATAATGTTCTGTCGTTTGGTTTCGTCTCCACTTTCTGCCCCCACCGCCTCACCTCTTTTGCCCCCTCCTCTGAGCTCCTCTGACTCTTTCTGCAGCCTTTCTCCTGCTACTCCTTGGCTCCTTCTTACTCCGCACTGTCTTTCAGCCATACCCCTGTTCTTATGCAGGGCTCCCCTTTACGCACAAATGTGCATATATTACGCATTAACCTGCAGTTACCCCCTTTAAGTTTTGGTGGTTAGTGAGCTTTACTCTTTATAATTCATTTCGGGGGGTTGCACGCTTTAAAACGTAGTAGGTGGTGTGCGTCTGGCAAGCATCATTTCCCCCCTTCTCTTTATCCCAAAGCCAAGTCAATGATTTGACGACACACCCATACATATGCACGACAGTCACCTTCTGTGTCAGAAGAAGTCAAGTAGTCGACCTACTTATATCAGCTGCGCGCAGTTTCTGGCAACACAGGCTTGCTTTGACAGCACAGAAGCTCCGCCCACATTCTGGTCGCTCACATTTGCCGGTGTCGTGCCTTGAGTTTACCCCTGTCGTGAGATTATCCCCATCCTTCTTTAACACCATAGTAAACATGAATTGTCCATCATCGAAAGAAGGGAAAGACTGGAATGTGAACCCTGGGATGGCTCTGAAGAATAATGAATCAGTTTATTTTCCAAACCTGCCACTCATCCCTGGCCTAAATCTCAAGCATCCCGATTTTCCCGATTTTGATCGCGTGTACCCTGATTTTTTTGGTTTAATTTTTTGTTACTCCTCATACTCCGGATTTTTCTAAAAATCTTACTCTTGCCTTCTTTACTGTCGTGGGAAGCACTCGTTAAACTTTTTGTCAGCAAAAACTCTGAGCACTATAAAACTATTTTCCGAAATGTCTATGTCGAATTTAGTAGTTGACTCACCAAAAGTTGTGTTGGATCTTTGCTGCTCACACGTTTTATTTCAACTATAATGGATTGGAAGTAGTATTGATTTGGCATTCCGACTTTAGACATTCTCAAGATCCTCTTTCGCCTAAACATGCTTTGTCCCAAGTTTTAGTTAGTCGTGCCCGTCATCAAGACCTGTCAGTAAAACTGTTTCGATCGTGCGTTCGCACCACGTGACATGAGTTCCGCGTGTGAGTTCCGCGTATGTCAGGGACCATCATTGACGGGGTCAATTTAAGTTCATGCACACTGGTTGAAGCTTGAAGCGTCTTTTGGGACTTATCTGAGGGGGGGGGGGAGCGTGTAAAACACTTGGACTAGGAGACTTAGACATGATACTTCAGGATTAAAAAAAAAAAAAATGATATACACACACAGGCATGCGCATGCTCTCACACACACACACACACACACACACACGTGTGTGCGCACACACACGTACTTACACAACACACAAGCATGCGAGCAGAAAGCATACATGGATATAATAATGGACACCCCTGGAATTTTTTTAAAGTCAGCTTGGCAGTGACCTAGGTGATTTGTCGTTGATCCCGATTTTTTTCACCAAGTCCCAATTTTTTTCCCCATTGAGATCCTGACTTTTAGATTTCATGGAGTGGCAGGTCTATTTTTCTTGGAGTATTATAGTCGGAGTTGACCCCTTTTGGTTCGTCAACTTTATTTTATTTTTGAAAGACCCAACTGCTCAACCACCACCACTCTTCCCCCCTCCAAATGGACACAATTAGATTCTAGTCAATATTAATATTACTCATTTATACATTTCTTAAGTTAATAAAAATCGTTAGCATTCAGTCATAGTGCATAGTCATGGTCACTCTATGTGTGTCTGTGTGAATGTGCGTGTGTTAAATGTTTGCAAACAAAAAATCTTACTATAAAATTATGAGATATTGACTTTTACCCTTTAAGTTTCTAAAACAAGGGTTAAATACCCCTTAAAATAGTAAACCAAAGGGAGAAGGAACCTCTTAAGTTGGCCTGAAAAGGGGAGCCCTGTTATGGGAGGAAAGATCTACACATAGCCTTCTTGGACAAGGGCGAAAAATCTCGGAGGTCCTGTGAGCAAGTTGCGCACGTTAAAGATCACTTGGTGGTCCAAGTCCAAAATCGAATGTAAACTTCGGCCGCCATGCGGGCAAAATTCAAAATTTCTTACCTACTGAAAATTGAATGTGTCACTCGTGCTCCTATGACCTTTAATGTAGTTTTGCGAGTGCCATATAAAACCGTAAAACGCACACACAAAAAAAAGACCTGGTTAAGTTCAGTGAAAGAATTTTAAGCTGTCTCATCATTCCTCCTGGCTGACTCTTCCTCTTTCCCTGAAGTCTGCCGTTGGTTGTCAGTACATGTTGCATGTCAACATGATGTATTCAATTGGTTAGGAAGACACCCCTCTCCGTCCAGTTTTGTTGTTCCCACTTCCCGTTTGCAGTGGATAGTTTGAGAGTGGCTGGTATTATTTTATTCATAGACACGTCTCATGATCTAAAGCACTTTTCTGTTAATTTTTATCTGCTTTACACAAATTTAGACTTTATATCCACCACAAATTATTAGTTTATAATGAGGTTTTGCAGGGTTTGATTATATTTTCTTGATATTAGCAAATTATTAAGTCTCTATTACCGGGAGATCACTCATACCCATAATGATTAGATGAAGAGCTATCGAAATAGCTAAACTTGTTTTGATTTAATAGTCAGTCATTTATGAATTTTTTTGTGAAGTAGCTTCCATACTGATTTGTCCTGTATGGTACTGCATCCTTGCCTGTACGTGCTTTGTTTTGGTCCTTTTTATTCACCTGTACATGTCTTTTTTTTTTTCCTTGCTATTTCTCCTCTTGATATTTCGTTCAATATCATGATATAATATTGCTCCTCAGTCTGTCTCTTTTGTCATATTTTCTTGCATTATTGATTTCCTTGTTGACTGGCCTCTATCATCATAAGTCACACCAGAGATTTTAAGAAAAGAATGTGTGACCCATTAGTTTTGTCTTTCTTATCAGTGTTTACCAAGACTTTCACAAACTGGTTGTTTTATTACTTCTTTGTCAAAGCTGTCGTCAACTTGTGCCCATGAGACTTTACTCTTCATTCAATATTCACGAATTTTGCACCATCCCTATTCACAGCTGTTTGAAGCAGGGTAGGGCCATTCTAGTGCCGTGTGATTTTATGGATTTTCGTCTCATTTTTCTTAAAACCATGGTAAAATTAGAGCATATACTATAAAATCACAGTTATTCCTGTTTCAGAATTGAGTAATTTGGTTCAATCATTTATCATACTGAATATATTGTCCACAGCTGGAACAGTGGTTTGAAGATGCCTTGAAGGAAAAGAAAGGGTTCGTGTTGAAAAAGATGGGGGAAGATGGAGCCTGCTTATTTAGAGCTGTCGGTATGTTGTTTTGTGTTGTTTCCGTCTGTCAGTGATATCTGTGATAGATTTAGAAAATTATTTTAGGGACTTGTTTGTTGAAAAAGCAATGTACTGTAATACATGTATTTAACAAGACAGGTATTGAGGATTTGAATTTGTCCGGGTTGTAATGGAGGCAGACAGGTCAACACCCACCTGTCAAAGCTTGACCTCTGATTTGCTCCCCATGAGAATGACTGTCAGCTAATTCATTATGTAAGTGGAGAGAGGTAATACAAGTTAAAATGGTTGTGCTGCAGTCCTCACTTCATAAATATAATACTGTAAACCTTGATTTGTCTCGTGGTTGGTCTGCCTGTGATTGGCTGTTGACACAGATTGTTCCAGAGGACAATGATCAGAGAAAAATAGATCAAGTTACTGTAGTCTCGGCCACCCAGAATAGAACAGGAATACATTGGTACATTGGCCATCCTTGAGATATGTATGAAATGAACTTTCACTTTGCCTTGTAACTCTTTTCACCACCATGAAGAAATATATTTCGTGTGCACATGAACCCAATTTTATGGGATGAATGAAAATGGTATTTTTCTATTCTGTTTTCTTAAATTAAGTACCTCACTTCAAGTTTCATCTCTGAATCTGTTTTCTTTTTTACTCTCAGCTGATCAAGTGTATGGAGACCAAGAGATGCATGGAGTTGCGAGAAAACTTTGCCTGGATTACATGGTAAGGTGTCTTTGTGTTATGCATTCCTTTCTTTTTTTAGTCAGTTAAAAAAATATGTAGACTCACTAGAAAAATATCTTTGTTCAGTGCGATGCTGTTGCCTGGTTTCTTTTTATTATATTATAGAATAGACAAGATTTGTTTAATGTATTTCCTTTGGCTGTTTTTGAAAATACCTCTCCTGCATCTAGACTTGTATGTAGGGCTTTAAGCTCCGTGAATAGACAGAATAATTTTTAGACTTGGCAAGTTTGTGTCTGGCGTCATTGATATATATTCCGTGTTATGTACTTGTATTGCAGGCAAAGAACGCAGACTTTTATTCGCAATATGTGACAGAAGACTTCACCACGTACATCAATCGTAAACGCATGGACTCGTGTCATGGCAACCACCTGGAGATCCAGGCTATGACGGAGCTGTTCAACCGACCAGTGGAAGTGTATCAATATAGTTTAGGTAAGAGCAAAGTTTGCTTTGTATTTTACCACTGAAACAAATTAGTTTGTGATGTGGTGTGATATTGAGCTCTGCTCTGTAACTTAATAGTAGGGTTGGGTCAGGCTTGTTAAATCAGGGTCCTCGAGTAACGAACAGTTCGCTGCTAATATTCTCAAAAGAACAGAGGGGTAACGAATCGTCCGATGGTGAAGATTCATTGGCTGCAACTCTGGTCGACAGAGACAGCAGTTCATTTAGCAAGCAGATGGACGGAGAGACTTTGCATACTACTCTTCCTACTACATCGTGTACAACAAGCTTATGTCTTGTATAGAGATACATTCACGCTGCATGTAATTCGCCATACAACCCCCCCCCAATTACCCCCACATACTACACCTCTGCTCTCTCCGTAGTGATAGTAGCTGAGTGCTGTTCAACGCGTTGTTTTTTTTCCCCCAAAGCCTTTGGCAAGTCCGCTTAGTGAATAAAATTATGGAGCAAACCAAAAAAACAACTTCTAAATGTCTTGAGGTTTGCAAACCGTTCACATGGCCGTCTGACTGCGTCCGTGAGTAACAAACCTGTTCGTCCACTCGCCCCAATTGTACTGAATAGAAAAGAGCAGTCTGGCTGATGTGCTTTTCCTTACATAACGAAGCATTGTATTCTTACTTGGTACAAATGGAATGGGAGGAAAGCTACCTGGTATCTGCATTTGTAGAATGTCATAAATATGATTTCACTTCTTTTGGTGCATATGTGTTGTCTTTTATTAACCTTCACTTGGCTTATCAGAATTGAAAAAGGACACACTCATTTTGTCTCTGAAATGTTATCAAATTGACTTTTGTTCTTTATCATTGTAACAATAAAGTATTTATTGTTTTTTTGTTTTTTAACTACATTTCATTGTCCTTTAATTCCATGGACACAATCGGTAGTGCTGTTCATTTTCATTTTGTCTTCTCTTGTCGTCAGAACCCATGAACACATTTGACACTGCCTACAAGACGGACAACGCCCCAATTCGTCTTAGTTATCATGGCAATGTTCACTACAATTCCATTGTGGACCCTTATTCAGCTTCCATTGGAGTGGGCTTGGGGCTGCCTGGTTTACAGCCTGGGGTAAGAGTATGAACGTTTCGTTTTGCCGTACAGAGTTTGTTGCCTTGTGAGAGAGAGAGGGAAAGACAGACAGAGTGAGAGATGGCGAGAGAGAAATAGAGAGAGAGAGAGACTGACAGACAGAGACTGACAGACAAATAGACAGAGACAAAGAGAACATGTTGCTTTGAGTAGAAATGAGTACATCAACACAATAACAGACATGTGGTGCAAAGAAAAAGTTAGACAGGAAGACAGAAACAGCTGATGAAAGGGGGAAAAAATGGCGCTCTCCAACCTTCCACTTTCAAAAGGGAACATTGCACAAGATGGAGACAAGCTGTCCAATTGCTCTATGCCCAGAAAGCATTAATTTCTAAAGCGCAGCCGAACCTAACTGCAACCAATTCCTATAACCCGGTATAACTACCCCACCGTGATCCTTAATATACCGGTTCTTCGTAGAGTGACTTGCCTTAAGGTCCATGAATATTTCAAACTTCCTTTGCCAGATTTACTCTGCGCCGTCAGTTTTTAAAATTTTAGGTGGGTTGTTTTGACCCTACCTGCTTTGCTGGTTTGGGGAATTATTTTTTTTATCAGCAATCGTGCAGATTTAATGAACACCATCTAACTTGTCCAGGTGAAATTTATTGCGGAGAAACTTGCGTGGGTGGGCTGAAATAAAGGCTATATCATCATCTGACCTAGTGCCGCCAACAAGCTGAGGTGCAGGGAAATGCCCAATGGCTTTGACCTGAAAGCGTCCAAAAGCTAGAGAACTTGAAGGAAAGCTCAACTTACAGAAGGGAGAAAAGCTCAGCTTGAAGAAGAAAAAAGAAATAAAAAGGGGGGGGGGGCAGATTTAAACTGCAAAGGAAAATGAAGAACTTTAAATGAAGAAAAAAGAGGATGTTGAAAGGGTGATCTTAGAAAGGCATCACTAATTGTTTTTCTCTTTCTAGATTTTTTGTTTGAAAGTATTTGCTGTTGTTGCTTGTATGTCCAAAACCTTGGATTTTTTTTCTATAGTGATATTGAGGCCTTTTTTGTTTTTACAGCAGGCAGAGCGAAATCAGATGAAGGATGCAGTGAAAAGCTCCGAGAATTTTCATATCGAGCAGGTGAGGAAGTTTCACTGTAAACAGTTGTTGTTTTTTGGATAAATAACTTTTTTTTATACTCTTCTCAAAATATCTGGGTCTTTCAGCTTAGATTTGTATCCAACACAGCACTGAGTGGTTCTTGTAAACTGTGTGGAAGCAGCCCATCTCGTCATTGATGTCAATTGTGTCAATGGTGGTGTGAAACATGAACATTCATTTTATAACCACATAGTTGACATAGTGACCAGACAAAAGTGACTCAGCTTCTAAGTATTCTTGTGTTCTAGAACCTCCCTAGATCAGATGTTTTGTTTTAGAGAATTTTTTTGTTTGGTTGGTTATTTGAGTTCCGTTTCCATTCTTATGCCATGTGGATGGTTGGCGGGTGCTCTGGTGTGGTTTGCTTCTTCTTTCCTATCAAACACCTATCGTCCTTATATCCCCTCCTTCTTTTTTATGTTTGTTACTCTCTTGTAGGGGGCTCTCGTGGCCTAGAGGTTAAGGTGTTGGCCTCTCATTCAAAGGTCCCGGGTTCGATTCCGGGTAGCGACCAAAAAATTTTCTT